ATGAGAACCACAACCATCTGGAAAGCCACAGTATCTATAGAAGGAAAAAGTACATTTTTTCTTACAGGGAAAGCCAGGCCACTAGAAGTCTGCTTGTACACACGGGAATCCAAGTCTAAATGCCTGGTGCAATGTATCTTCAACATCTGAGTGAGTCTGTACATTACATTCTCCGGCAGACTGCACAGAAGGTGGGAGCCTTTTTCCTCACTTCCATTACAAAATGAGTTCCCTTCCAAGTGACTCAATCTTTCTTCAAATTTGTTTACTTTGACAGAGTAATAGTCACATCTTACTCTGTCCACAGAGTCAGGTTTATTCCCGATGATTCTGAAAAGCTCTGCTTTGATTCACTGATAAGTATAATAAACAACTCTTAAGTCACATGTCCTCCAGGTACACATGCACACACACAGTACCAATTGCCAATGAAGCAAAGATTTCTTTAAATACGAACCTGACCGCCCTCAATTGCACTCCTGCGAACTAAAATAAAAACTGAAATTTATAGGACACAAAACAAGCTATCATCTAGTGAACTTTAAAGACCAATAAAATGAAGAGTAAGAATTTGCTAACAATATTTATTTCATCTTTTGGTTTTGGATCTGAAACACTTTAGAAAATGAGGAACAAAAGAAATGAAGAAAGACTCTATGCCCACAAAATTTATATTAAGTTCACAGACTATACAACAATTATTAGGTCCATAAACTAAACAATGAAGCACACAGAAAAGGGTAAAGTATATGAAATAGGCAGTGATGACAGAAAGAAGCAGAAAAATGTTCACCTTTAGCCCACAAGGCTGGTCTACAGCCTGCATAGTTCCGATAAGGATCAAATATGGACTGGTTGCTACATTCTTAAAGGGTCTCATGACTGCTTGTATATGTCACACATAGTTAATATCAAGCTGAATGATAAGCACCAGAGAAATCTTGTGAAAGTAGTTTTATGAGCAGAAATTTGAAGAGAACATTTATGATCTAATACTCCCTGCAAGCTCCCTCCCCCTTGAGCACTAAACATCTGCCCACCAGCTTCACACTGCAGAGTGCAGCTCTTTCTGCCCGCAGGTCCTGTCCCCGTACTACTTAAATAACCTTACTCTGAGTTGCATAGTAAAATGTCTCATGTGTTCTTTCTTAACCCGCACGGCACACTCAGTGATCATGCAACAGACAGGCCCTGACTTAAGGGCAATCATATAGATGAACACTCACTGTGGCACTATGAATTTTTTTCTATCCTGCCAAAACACCACCTGCAGTAGATAACCACTCACATCATTCTGAATCATTCCCTGCCAGACTGCCTTGGGCCTCCTACCTGAACCTCTGCCGAGCCAGCTGCCTCAACCCTGAGAGCTTCCACCTAGCCAATTTTCTTCTTCAGTTACCAAGACTTGAGTATTTGCATATAGTATTACAGGTTAAAGAAAAAAAAAAAAATCACAGTGAGCTAGTCTGGAAACCAAACCAACATTTAGAGTAACATCTCTGTGAGTATAAATCTGAAACTCTGAATCACCAGTTTATATTTAAATTTCTGAAATTCATTCTATTCTAGAGTTTGACTATACACAAACAATGAATCATGGAACACTACATCAAAAACTAATGATGTAATGTAAGGTGATTAACATAACATAATAAAATAAAATAAGAGAGTTTGACTATAAATATATCCAGCCTGAAAAACAAGCCCAACTAATCTCCTTGCTGTGAATATTTACACAGTTAAATTAATATACATTTAACAAATAAACTTCAAAATTTCAGTTCTAGCTAGTTTAGGAAAGGCTGTAAAAGGTAAAATAAGCACCATGCTTAATAAAATTCTCATCTGACTATCAACACAATTTAGAGGCCTCATCTCTCTGATGCATCTCTCTCTCTCTATAGAATCAATTTTTAGGAATTCAAATATGAAGTTATAAGAAGTCCAGGTGACTGAAATGATTCCGTTTCAGAGATTCTCTGACTCAACTTGCTCTAAACTTTGTAGTAATGATTGATGAGATTTGGGAGACTGAAGGGTAACAGAATATGCTACCACAAAATAAGCCTCTTTGGTATAAGGATTATTTTAAGAGAATGAAAAACAACAGAGCCAGGAGAAGCTCTGAAAACACAGTAAACGTTATCCTTTTGTAAGGGTAATTTACATTTATGAAGGAAATCTCGTTTGTAAGAGTGTCTCCCTTTCAGCACCAGGAAGAAAAGGATGACTCTAAATCATAAGAGACTATTACAAGAGAATCTTATCAGTGGAGAAGGCACCTGGACTTAAATATGCATAATAAACCCCTTGTTTACCATGATTTTCCTAGTAACCTCCCATAACTAGCTGCTCCCAACACCACCCTCACTTTATTTGTCTTTAGCGGAAGAAGGTATTTAAACCCACATTCTAAACCATCTCAGAGATTTGCTCCCTTCTCCCAGGGTATCACCCATGTATACAAGACTTAAGCATGTTGAACTTTTGTTGGTTTTTCTCTTATTAATCTGTCTTTTATTAGAGGTCTCAGCCAAGAACTCAGAAGGATAGAACGATTATTTTTTCCCTCCCTACAGGGTTCTGCCCTCAAAACAGCCTGGTCTAAGAATTCCCAGACTAACGGGGAGGCATACTGCCCATCAGCCACCACTCTCTAACCTAAATCAGCCCATCGAAACAACCTTCTTTTACCACAGCTGGCCACTGCCCCATTTTTTTTTTTTTTTAAAGATTTTATTTATTTATTTGACAGAGAGATACACAGCGAGAGAGGGAACACAAGCAGGGGGAGTGGGAGAGGGAGAAGCAGGCCTCCCGTGGAGCAGGGAGCCAGATGCAGGGCTCGATCCCAGGACCCTGGGATCATGACCTGGGCCAAAGGCAGACGCTTAACGACTGAGCCACCCAGGCGCCCCGCCACTGTCCCATTTTTAAAATTTCAAGAGCCACATATAATTTTTATGAAGAAGCTGTTTTGGCTGCTTGTTTCGAATGTTTATAGTTAATATGTATTTAACAAATTAAAAAGTTTCAGATCTACCTACCATAAAGTAGGTAGCCATTCTTAAAAATATTTGCAACTTTATTTGCTCTTCTCATTAAGTTTACTACTGAATTGGAAGACAACTGAATATTTAAGACCTAAATTCTTGGTTTACAGTGTTCAATAACAAAAATTCAACTTGAGTAAATTTTAAAGATCTAACTGCCTTTATTAATCAATTCATGAATTAGGCAGCATCCTGTCTAGCAAGTAGATGGGAGCTCCAAAGGGCTACAAGAAAGGAAAGGTTTTTAAAGGTAGAGAGGGGGTGGAAAAAAGAAAATTATTAGCGAAGAATCCATTGTTTTAGGCAAGGTCACCCTTCTAAGGGGAACTGAAGGGATCTATCAGATTTCCTAGTGCTGACCAGGAAATTCTCATGTTGACTGGTTAAAGGTTACATTTTGGGGTGGGGGAGGGGGGCTAAAACTGCAGTTAGGTTTTACTGACTTGGTGCCTTGACCTAAGTGACACCATTTTGGGCCTGTGGGTTCCTTTTTAAGAACACTATCCCCAAGCAGAAGGTTACATATTGGTTCCTAAAGATATCTTCAAGACACCAAATATGTGAGCTAGTAAAAAAAACTTTGACTTGAGCACAGTTAAATCAGGAAATTAAAAACTGCTAAATATCAACATTCATAAAGACTGCAGCATACATATATCACACAAAAAGTAAATGTACAGAATACTAAGGCTATGTGCAAATAGAGAGTCAAGGAATTAACATTTGTGCCTTCAAAATTCAAGGCTAGACTCTTAACATTTAAGGGTTTTTATTTTTAAGACACTTGCAATAAACATAATTATTATGGAGAGTAATGAGATAATGGAATACAAATGAGAAACAAGCCCCATCACTTTTACCTCAAATTTTGAGCCTGAGAATGTTTTTTTATTTTTTAAGTAATTGAATTTCAATTATATTATGCAAAGTACCTAATTCAATTTCACAATGCAAAAAGGTTTGGATTTAATCAACAGGTACATTTACTATTCAAAGGAATTGCTACAATCTCCTTTTACTTATTCATTGGGAAATAAATGGGAAAAAAAAGTTCTACTGTCACTACTATGACAGTGTGGCTAAAGCACTACTCTATTAGAGAGAGATTCCTATATCAGTTTGCAAAAAAGCTAGTCAGGGTAAAATGTTTATGTCAATATTAAAGCTACTCCCCACCCCAGCATTTTTGTAAGCCGGGGAGAAATCTCAAATTCTTAACTGAGTGCTACTACATTGATTAATCTCCGGCTGATGCTCGGCTGTAGGATCCATCTGTTTTATTCACTGCTGTATCCCAAGTTCCTAACACTACACCTCATACTCCACAGGTTCTCAAAAGACATTTACTGAAGGGTGCCTGGGTGGCTCTGTGGGTTAAGTGACCAACTCTTGGGTTTTGCCGGAGTCATGATCTCCCGGCATGGGGCTCCACGCTCAGCATGGAGGCTGCCTGTCCCTCTCCCCGCCCTCTGCCCCTTCCCTAAATCATGCACTCTCAAATAAATAAAACCTTTAAAGAAAAAAAAGACATTTGTTGAATGAAGTCAACCTTTCAATTGGCTTCACTGTTTACTGGTCTCTTCCTGCTCCTATTCCTACTTCCTATTTCAAACCAAGTATTACATTTGAAAAATCCCTGAAACTCCTTGTAGACTTTTGAAATTTGTCTATTTATGAAATTTTGAAAAAAGCCAGGAATGAACTGTATGATTTTTTTTCAATCTATTTCAAAATGTACCAAGGCTATACTGAAAAATCTGCCCTAAGATTTTAAATGTCTGGAGATTGTGGTCAGGAAAGAATGGTAAAGCCAAAGCACCAGACCTAACTAAAACACCAGTTAGCTCCAGGGTTCCCTGCCTTTTAAATTTTACCTGAAACATAAAATTCATAAAATCTAAGGTAATTCTAATTTAAAATAGCATTTTAAAGCACTGGACTTACCATTATAGGTTATTCTTGGCTTTGTTAAACACATCACAAGATGCAAATCCATTTCATCTGAAGGTACAAATTTTGAGCATACGGGGCACTTAAATCCTAAAAAGTAAAAGAAACCCATTTTACTCAATTATTCTGAATAGCCAATTCCATTTTTTAAAAAAGCATCAAAGACAAAAAGCATTTCAAATTTCAACATTATACTTACAGTAATACACTACTTAATTGCAAGTTAGGTTGCAAAAAGAGTTTTGTAGCTATAATAACTGACTTCAATTAATTTACAAAGACCATCCCACTTCAAATGAAACAAGTACAAATGAGAAGAATTAGGCTCACTACAAAACTCCCATATCTTTTTCTAACGTATGGGTCCAATCATTCTTCTAATTTTTTACATGAACCTGAACTTCTGAATTTGTGGAAATTACCCTTCCCAGCTTAGTAGGGCACAATCTGAGTCACAAGGTTTTACAGCTAGACAGTACCTTAGAAACTATTCTATTCCATTGGTCTTTTAAAAATTATTCTGAAATGGGGCGCCTGGGTGGCTCAGTCGGTTAAGCGACTGCCTTCGGCTCAGGTCATGATCCTGGAGTCCCGGGATCGAGTCCCGCATCGGGCTCCCTGCTCGGCGGGGAGTCTGCTTCTCCCTCTGACCCTCCTCCCTGTCATGCTCTCTGTCTCTCATTCTCTCTCTCTCAAATAAATAAATAAAATCTTAAAAAAAAAAATTTTAAATAAAAAAAAAAAAAATAAAAAAAAATAAAAATAAAAAATAAAAATTATTCTGAAATTGGCAAAATCAGGTCTAAAAGCTAAGACTCCTGTCTTCCAGTAGTGATCTTTCTCTCACACTATACTACGAAAGTCACAATGCAAACCAAAAATGGCATCAAACAGGGCAGATTTCCCAGTCAACTCTGACACTTAAATATTAGTTTCCTACAATATTCAATCTGTACTATTTGCCTCACGTAGTCTATTAAAAATAAAGTGGTATAGTGAAGGAGAGAATAGGCTATATATTCAGCTCTATCCTACTCCCTCACTTACCAGGGGACCTGTCCTATCTATGGTTTCTTGCGGTTGCCCTGCTGCCCTACTTCTCCCTCTCTGATATCCCGAAGCAGATGGAGCAGCACTGGACACCTGATTCAAGATAGCCAATTTATAGTTTGGCTAGGAACAACAAACCAGAAGTGGCACAAAAAGATGGTCTGGGCCAATCTGTTTTTCTTGGAAATATGACAAGAAACAGCAAGAGAGTACACTTGTCAGCTGTAAAGAGCTGAGGCAGAAAGGGCACCTGCAGGTCAGAGAGAGACCAGCGGCTCTGCAAGCTGAACTTGGAAACTAATGGCCAGCAGAGGAAAATGGTTTGCATGGAGATCGAGGAGCAGACGTGCAGAGAGGAGCGGAAGTGCCGTGAGAGATAAAAGCTAGTAAGAAGGTTAGTGAAAGAAACCAGTCCCTAACGCTGCCTCTGAGTCTGACAGCTCTATACTTCCAGCACACGTGTGTTCTTAGAGGCGCTCTCCTCCATTCACTGGGACTTGAAACTCACTGTGACCAAATGTGTCAGACTAGAATCACACTTCATGCAGAACTTTATACAAATCAGGAAAAGGTTCTGGCATGGGTACTTAATCCCGGTATGATTTTGAACACTGTTTTGACATTGTAGTAAATGCATTTTAAAAGAAAGGAAAAAAGGTATGTTTACTTCCCCTTCTTGAAAACCACCAAAATGAAAATGAAGAAAGAGGAAATTCATTTAAAATGAAACTATAAACTAGCTATAATCCCCAAATACCAATATAAGGAAATTTAAGTCAAATGGGGAGAAGACTGAGACTCTCAAGTAGCATTCATATTTCAAGGACCAACCAACAATCTTTTGCTTGGAATTGTAAAAAAAAATTCTTCCCTTTAAGTTAAAAAGGACATAAAAGAGGGAAAGAGGCAACCAATTTTCTAACTATTGATCAGAATCATCTGAGTACAGGCACATAAACTCTAAATTATCAAAGTACAATACTGTGAACTACTGAGAGCTATCCAACTGCTCACAAAGCAGAGCCAAACGAGAGAAAACTTTGTGCAAAGAACCACCTGGATTTCTAGTTAAATACAATAAATTAATGTGTTTCTTTCTCCTCCCATCTAAAATCCACTGAAATGAGAATAAAATAAAAATAAGATGAAGAACTTGAAAGGAGACAGCAGATGAGAAAACAGATATCCCAAGTGCCTGCGGAAGTCAATCAATTCTCACTACCTAATTCTCAAAGGACTCCAAAATCTATACCTCCAAGTGACTTCCCAAGACAATGGTGAGGCATGAGGTTAAAATCTAGATTGATTCAGACTGGAAAAAAAAAAAAAAAAAAAAAACCCCTAGATCCTCAATCCATGACATATAGCAACTACAAGAAACTACAGTTCCCCAACTATAGCAGGAGAATGAAGGCTAACTATAAAATAAAAGACCCAAAATAGAGTGACTTGAGGACCCCAGGCACAGCAATGGGAAGGGAAGAAAACACAGGAATAAAAGATCTATGTACAGGGGCGCCTGGTTGGCTCAGTCGTTAAGCATCTGCCTTTGGCTCGGGTCATGGTCCCGGGGTCCTGGGATTGACTCCCACATCGGGCTGCCTGCTTGGCGGGAAGCATGCTTCTCCCTCTCCCACTCCCCCTGCTTGTGTTCCCTCTCTTACTGTCTCTCTTGCTCTCTCTGTCAAATAAATAAATCTTAAAAAAAAAAAAAACAAAAAAAAAACTATGTACAGAAAAGGCCCCGTCTGCCAATTTCCTTTACTCTCTTTACCAAGAAACTGGTAGATTCTTCTCTTAAATCAAAAGGTCCCACAGAATAAAACATCAAGACCCTTGTCTGTGGATAAGCCTCAGCCTTAAACAAAAAGCTTCCAATCAGCTTTTCAGGGCCTCGCTCATAAACATAATGCAATAAAAGAAAAAATTTTGCATGGTTAAAACACAACACAGCAGAAGCAAATCCAAAAGACAAAAATATTTAAACATGTATTACAAAAGGACAATATCCTTAATACATAAAGCCAATCTAAAAAGGCTACACACTATACGATTCCAACTATATGACATTCTGGAAAAAAAAAAAACTATGAAGAAAAAGATCAGTGGTTGTCAGGGGTTGGAGGAAAGGGAAGGATAAATAGGTGAAGTATAGAGTATTTTTATAGCAGTGAAACTATTATGTATTGTAGATATATACCATTACACATTTTTCCAAACCAACAGAATGTACTACAGCAAGATGAACCCTAAAATAAACTACGGACCTTGGGTATTAATGATGGGTCAATCTAGGCTCATTAATTGTAGCAAATGTATCACTCTGATACAGGATGTTGATAGTTGGGGAGGTTGCATATGTGTAGGGATAAGGGTTATATGTGAACTCCTATACTTTCCTTTTAAATTTTGTTGTGAACTAAAAGTGCTCTAAAAATTTATCAGTAAAAAGTTAAAAAAAAAAAAAATTCTTAAAAACTGTGGAAAATCAAATACCAGTTAGAAAAATGGGCAAAAGTTTTAAACCAGTATTTCACCAAAAAGATATTCAACTGACCTTTAAACAAACGAAAAACTGCACAGTATCAGAACTGAAGAAGCACCTTCCTCTTAAGTTCTTTTTCTTTATTCCCATTTTAGTGGGTTTTAGGAGGGAAGAGAAACACGTATTTAATTCACTTTATTTAACTAGAAAGCCAGGTCAGTTCTTTGTACATACTGTTTTCTCTCCTTAGGCTTTACTTTATTTCTACATTAAGATATCACTACTTACCCCAGATTGGCAAAAACTCAAAAGCTTGACAACATACTGTCGGTGAAGCTGTGAGGAAACAGGTACTTTCATACATTGCTAGTAAGAATGCAAAATTTTACAAGCTCCACGGAGGGCAATTCGGCAATATCTTAACTCGATTATGTATGTCTTTATCTTCTGATCCAGCAATCCCATTTCTAGCTTCTCACCCTGAAGGTATGTCCCCAAAGCACAAAAAACCCATGCACAGATAGAGGATTCTGAGGAGACGGTAGAGCAGGAAGCACGGGCAGAACTGGTCTCCCCACTGAAATAATGGCACTGGTGGCGTCTGAGGGAACTCTTTTGGAACTCTGGAGGCTATTGAAGGCTTGCAACTTCCAGGGGGAAGACCTGGACAGTACACTGTGGTTAATTTCAGCTCTGAGCACAGTGACAGCCACCCTTCCCACCACACTCCACCCCCAGCCACATGGCAGGCAGCAGTTCAGCCACCCTTCCCACCACACTCCACCCCCAGCCACATGGCAGGCAGCAGTTACTTCTTCTTTGAGCAGCTTAAACATAGCTTGCAGGAACCAGGCTGGGCTAGAGGACTCTGTCCTCCAAATGCTGGGACCTTGCACTCTGATTGCTGCTTCAGATCCAAGAGGTACAGACACAGAGAAGGGTAGTCATTGCTGTCAGCTCTTCTCCATTGTAAGCCCTCCCACTCTAGCTGAAGAAACCTCAAGGGGATTTAAAGGGCCTATGCCCTCCCCCCCCTTTATTTCTCACTTTTCCCCCTTTTGCGAGCCCAACATTAAAAGACTAGGAGATTAAAAAACAACTATACATACAGGGGAAATTAGAAAGACTGTATACCCAGTAAGTCTCAGAGAAGACCATACGTTTTTACTTCAGGCTCATGATCCTCATCAGAACAGCCTATAATACCCCCAAAAAAAACAATAATAAAAAATAGCAGACACTGGGGAAGGGGGAAAATCTGATTTCCAAAATTACCACATTATTTTAGATTCGAATAACCAGTTTTTAGCAAAAAAACAAACAAAACACACCCTAAGCATACCGAAACATAACATACAGAAAAAAAAACCCTAAGCATACAGAGAAGTATGGCCTTTAAAGGAGAAATAAAAAAATGAAACAGAAACTGTCCTTGAAAAACCTCTGATGGCAGATATGCTAGCCAAAGATTTTTAAATGCCTAGCTTAAAGATGCTCAAAAAAATAAAGGAAGATGTAGAGAAAGTCAAGAAAATATGATCAAAATGGAAATATC